AGGGAGCCCGATGTGGGGCTCGATCCCAGGACCCTGGGATCATGACCTGAGCCGAAGGCAGACGCTTAACGACTGAGCCACCCAGGCGCCCCACGACGTGTATAATGGTTTTAATGATAAGAAACATTTTACTCTTTTTACGAAGTAATTTATGTTTTACAAAAGGAAATGTACATGTATTATTTTGGGCACTAACTTAGTCCTGTCACTGTAATTATCTGGCCTTGGTAAAAGGGAATATGCAAATCAAGCTGGGTACATTTAGATCCAGGTATTGAGTTTGTTTTGTTTTAGATATTCTTTCATATATATGACTTAAAGATAATCATATACTCTTTATAAGATGATAACCAAAAATATTATTTAGTTTTTAGTTTTATTAAATTTTTCTTTGGTAGGCAAGATAAAGTAATTGAGCCAGTTTATGAGCAACTCTTGTTTTTAATAAGTGGGCCTTAGGGTAAGTGTGTCAATGTTTAACGAGGAGTAAGTCCACGCTTACCCAGCAAACTGAGGGAGATGGAACTCTAAGAAATAGGGGGCCCTATTCTTGACAAAGAAGTACAGCAAAGGACTAGTAAGAGAAGACAGGGTCATGGGCTGGGGTTATTGCAATTGATGTATTGTAATCTGTATATTTGAATAGCAAGTGAGATCAAGCCCTGCACCTCTACTTTCCCCATAACAAGAGCCTTTGTGGGGGACTCAGCAGCAGCTGAACCACCAGCCAAGAAGAGCCACTCCCAACACGTGCGTTGCCAGTCTCATGCAACCTGGAGAAGAAATACTGGCAATTATATCCTACTCTGGAACCAAAGTTGGAGAAAGTCACTAATGGAGATTGTCACTGATTTCTTGTTAACTATCTTTCTCACCCACCAAATAAATGTTCATTTAAAGAATCTGATGTAGGGATGCCTGGGTGGCTCAGTCGGTTAAGCATCTGCCTTTGGCTTAGGTCATGATCCCAGGGTCCTGGAATCGAGCCCCGCAGTGGGCTCCCTGCTCAGTGGGGAGCCTACCTCTCCCTCTGCCCCCTCCCTGCTTGTGCTGTCTCTCTCTGACAAATAAATAAATAAAAATCTTTAAAAAAAATCTGGTGTAATCACTGCTTGTTTCAATTTATCCACGTAGGTGATTTATAGGAGGGAACAAATAACTTGTTTCTATTGCTGAAATAGTCATGTCTCTGATCCTTAAGTCTGGTACTGGAGGCATCTGATAAGACATAAATCAAGCACAGCAAGACATTTTTCTTGAACTCTAGTGAATGTATCTGTCAGATAGAAACCCATACCTCTACAGATTTCAGAGAAAGGCATGCAAATTTCCTCAATGTCTCAGGTGGTTTGTCTGTTGTCAGTAGGTGGCTTCTCCTAGCAAGATCTTGATTAGACCCCATCTCCTCTGAGCCAGGGATACCTTTAAGGGACATTTGCATCATCACACAGTCCGTCCCAATTCTGTCATTCGAGATACTAGATATGTTGTCTAGAGTAACCTATGTCCTACTCAGAACCTTAAGACCAATCTTCACAAGAACAAATTGATTTGAAAAGTTTGAAGAATTTGAAAAACATATAGAGGTGAACATTTTTGTCTCCTTGTACACTAAATCCTGTGTCATAGACTATAGACTATAGCTTTTCAAATTTTACCTTTTCTCCCCCCATCAATACAAATGCAGTCTCAGGAGACTACAGAAATGCCCAGCCATTCTTACTATGAGCATGAGACTAATGTTTGCCAGAGTGGAGGTTGGTATTAGTTACACTGGCCCTGTCTTAGGTTTGTCATGAGGAAGAGCCAGTGGGGATGTTTGTCCTCTAAGGATTTTGAAGGAAAACAAACAAACAAACAAACAAACACTATAGTCTTCAGTTCTGAAAATTAAAGGAGTATGCTAAGTGAAACAAACATTTACAAGAGAGCATCACAGTCAGGGAAACACTTGTTGCTGGCTTCTCTGAGACTATTAGGGGATCTAAACCTGTGGGCTTGGGGAGGGAAAGGCAATAGAAAGAGCCAAACTGAAAACCCAGGTATGTTTGTTTTCACTGGAGATGTCACTGGCACAGGGAGGAAACAGGGAGAACTCAAGCCAATTGATAGGAGCTCGTAAGACATTCAGTTGAATCACCTGTATTTACATTCATATAAGCAGTAGTTCATCACTATGTACGTAGTCCTCCCATTTGAATTTGGGCAAAGTAGATTTCTGAATGTATTCTCTCACCATTCCTTAGAAGAAATGTCACTCTCTCAACTGCTAATTTTAAAATCAATGTTTATAGATTTTCTGATTTAAATTATAGTCATCATTGGAAGTTTAGATGAGTTATTTTGGGCTGTCCCTGTAGCATATACATAAATTTGATTAATTGTTATCTACCCAAGCATGTTGGAATAATATTACTTATATTTATACATACAATAAGACTTTTTCTTTACCGGGTATCACGCAACCATTTTAAGAATGAAGAGTATAAAGGCAGTTCAACCCAGGAGCGGAGACGGATTTGTAGTTATGCAGGTTTTTAAAAATGTGAGCCTGGACTTTGAATTCAACTCATAGCATATAGCCCTTGTGATTTTTATACTTATTATATCCTTTAGATTGAGTTTCTTCCTCAGTGTAACTATGAACTCGAGTATTCCGTAATGACCAAGCATCTGTTGGCTGACTTGTTGCTATGTGGGTTTTGTCCCTGCTGAACCATGTCTACCAACAAAGCCCTACTGTCAGGTAGCCTTCTACACCATGTCAGAGCATTTCTGTAAACCTCAGTGATCTTCTTGGCTTCCCGCCACCAAATACAGAGTTTTCTATCCATCTCCAGCTCGCTCCGCGGGCAGTCGTCTCTTTCGTGAAGAGACGTACAAAGGCCTTCACCTCCTTCAAGGATTTATGACTCTGTATGACTTCTGGTTTGAGCCAGGACGGCTGGAGAGCAGTATTGGTTATTTCAGGGTCAGTAACAGAAATCGGGCATGAGTTCATACATTATGTCATGACATTTTCCCTAGTTTTAAAGAGTTGCTTTCTTTTCTTGTTCTTTTACTAGTTTCACAGTCAAGTCTTACTCATTTTCCCTTTTTCTTTGCTCCCAAGAGGATTAACACCTAAGTTAGCATTCACTGATTTAACAAATAGTTATCGAGGGCCCACTATTTGCGAGGCCCACCCTGTTCTAGGAACTGGAAATAGATCAGCTGACAACAAAATAGTCCCTTCTCTTATGGACCTTAATGTCATCGCCGAGGTCCTTGGTAGCTAAGGTTATGTAGTGTACGTGCCTGACGTAAAGTTTTTGATTGCCAAGATACCCATTTCAAAGACATTCATCTTGAACAAACATATTGCCAGCTTCTTGACACCGCTTCCAGTAAAACACCTGGTTAAGAAGCCAGGCCACTCCCACCCATGAAGTTCCCCTTTTTAGAAAGCCCTGAGTAACCTAGATAACTGACTGCTTGCATGACCCCACTTTTCCCTTCCCAAGTCCTAATTAACAATGTTATGTTTTAAATTCGCCAGTAACGGGGCGCCTGGGTGGCTCAGTCAGTTAAGCGTCTGTCTTTGGCTTAGGTCATGATCCCAGGGTCCTGGGATCGAGCCCGCATCGGGCTCCCTGCTCAGTGGGGAGCCTGCTTCTCCCTTTGCCTCTCTCTCTCTGCCACTCCCTCCACTCATGCGCGCACATGCTCTTGCTCGCTCTCAAGAAATAAATAAAATCTTAAAAAAAAATCCACCAGTAAAGTATGAGCTTGTAAAATCCTAGGTGTACACTCCCAATGTAAATAAAAACAGAACACCAGGTCTATGCTCCCCCAGGCTCCCCATGACTTCCCTGTGTGGCCTTGGGCTTGCTCCATGTATCCTCCAGGACTTGTGAATAATAAACCTCGTTTTTTCCTATTTCTTTTTTAAAAATATTTCAATTATTTGAGAGAGAGAGAGAGCATGAGCCGGGAGGTGGGTAGGGGAAGGGCAGAGGGAGAGGGAGAAGCAGACTCCCCACCTGAGCAGGGATCTGTATGCCTGGCTGGATCCCAGGGTTGCAGGATCATAACCTGAGCCAAAAGCAGACCCTTAACTGACTGAGCCACCAGGCGCCCCTAAACCTTTTTTTCAAAGTTTTTTCAAAGTTCCCTGATGGTTGTTGCTGAGGTGAATCAAAATAAAAACCAAGAAGGTCAATCCAACTGCTGCCTGGTGAAGACCATCTGCTCAGTCGTTACTGGGATGTTGCCGGAGGCTCTCAGTTTCATCACAAGTAAAGAATTTAAGGACCGACCAGACAGGGTAGAGTGGTGCAAGAGTTTATTAAAGAGAGAGAGTACAATGTCTAAATAGAGAGTGGGCCACCTCAAGGGAGAGCTGTGCCTGGGGTTTGGGTCTCTATCTTTCTTTGACAGTATTAACTAAGGGGTGCAATATTTATTATTTGGGGAGGGGATTTTTGGGGGGAGCAGGGTTTTGCACCTTTTCTCCCACATTTATGAGGGTCTCTGGCCTTCTGGGTCTTGGGCCTGTCTGGTTTGATCTGGCTTCTTGTGGCTTTGTTTGCAGAATTCTGCCAGGACACGTTGCTAACTTTCCTGATAATGGGCCTAGACTCACCCCTTGCTGGCCTCCAGGCATCCTGTTAAAGCCTAACTAACTGCCCACTCTAACACAGCCACACCTCAGCTCCGGTGGGGAAAAGTCTGTGGGGGCCCACATAAGTAGTGGGGCCCGGGTGAGTGCCTCAGGCATTGGTAATCTAGAGCATCGCTATTGATAGCCTGAGACCAACACAAAACAGGTAATTTGTTAAGCAGAGTCAAAACTGGCTGAATGGGGAATGCATTGTCAGAGTGCAAGTAGGCAAAATTCCTGTCTTATTCCTGGAGAATATTCATAGATTTGCAGCTTGTGGGTACAAAGATTTTTGCCTGGGTTTAGAAGGTAATTTAAGACATAGATCAAGGAGTTCTCAATGAGTGCCAACAATATATCCCAGACCAATTAAATCAGAATCCCCGGGGTTGGCTCACAGGCATCAACATATATTAAAATATTAATAATTAATAATAATTAATAATGTGTATATATATATATACACACACACATACATATACCTCAAGTTCTCTGGATAAGAGAGATAACCTTGCAGTCAAGGGTGAAAGATCATTGTATTAAAGTTACCTGTTTGTGGAGACAAAAAAACAAACTATATTTGACTGTAACAATTTTTGATGAGACGAAGGCTTTAACTAGAAGCAGAATTATTGAAAAGGAGAACCTCCCTCCCACTCCACTACCCCTTCGGGTTTTTTTCCTACTATATTTTTTTCTTACTATTTTTTCCCTCTCAGCTGACAAGAGCTTATTCAGAATCAAATAGGCAGTAACTTACTGAGAACAAAGCTCAAAAAATCAGAGTAATAGCTCAAATAGGTCTGATTTTGGTGCCTTGGCATATGCTTTTATATCATTCTGGAAAATGATTTCCCTTTGTATCTATTTCTTCAAGAAATACTAAGAAGCTTCAAGATCCAAGCCAGTTGTCACTCTCCTTATAAAACCAGAATGAACTATTGACAGTTTGTAACACACTCCTCTGAGTTGCAGTTGCATTGTGGTCAAACTTTTGTCACATTCAATAGTCATAGTTTACCTAATGTTGCTTTCTCTAATACTCTGTGAGCTCCTTAATGTTGCTTCTCTTTATTCACCAATTTCATCTACAATAGTATCTGAACTATTATGGATTTTATTGAATGGAATTAATGAATAATGCCTGTATTAGAGAGATTTATTTTTAGACAGAATTGTCTATTACAATTAAGAAACCTGGATCCAAATGGTATTTTTGGGTGAAAAGGAAAGTGCAAATCAGTGTAAAGAAATCTGTCTCATATTTGCACGTTTGCCTATTGGACTTTATTCTTCCGGATGTTCTCACAAGTGGAAAACTGCTGTCAATGCCAATGATGAGTGGGAACATTTACTGTTTAATTTGGAAATCAGTCGCTGATTGGAAGTTATGTTAAAGTTTTTCATTTAAATCTGTAAGACTGGCTCTCCTTGTGTATACTTCAGAGCCTCAGCTGGAATAAAAGAGAAGGATTTTTCAGGAAGATAAATGAGACAGTATCTGAGCATTTTTCAGTGAAAAGTATCAGACTGGATTTTATTCCACAACATTTTGACAGCCAAAAAATCAGTGAGACATAGGACTAACTTTCTGGATTCTTTCTACAGAAATGCCATCTGGAATTAAAAATGCTTTTCTGATAGCAACAGGAGAATTCATAGCTGGAATGTTGGGGAACAGCTTCATTGTACTGGTTAACTGCATTGACTGGGTCAAGAGTCAAAAGCTCTCATCAGCTAACTGCATTCTCACCAGCCTGGCTATCTCCAGAATTGTTCTTCTTTGCGTAACACTATTCAATTCATTTTTAACGGTGTTCTGGCCACATCTTTATGCCATTGATAAACTAGCAAGATTCGTTAGCATTCTTTGGACACTGAGCAATCACCTAGCTACCTGGTTTGTCACCTAAGTGTTTTCTACTTCTTTAAAATAGCCAATTTCTCCCACCCCCGTTTCATCTGGCTGAGGTGGAGAATTAACAGAGTGCTACTTGTGCTCCCAGTGGGGTCTTTATTCTTATTGTCTTGCAACTTTGAATTGTTAGATACATTTACTAATTTCTGGGTTAATGTCTATCAAAGATATGAAAGAAACTCAACTTGGTCCCTAGATGTAAGTAAAACTCTGTATCTTAACAGCTTGATTGTTTTCAGTTTTATCTACTTAATCCCCTTTCTTCTGTCCCTGACCTCACTGCTCCTTTTCTTTCCCTGAGGAGACATACCAGGAATGTGCAACTGAACTCCGGCTCTAGGGACTTCAGCAGAGAGGCCCATAAAAAGGCCATGAAAATGGTGATGTCTTTCCTTCTCCTCTCCACGGTTCATTTTTCTTCCATCCTATTAACAGGTTGGATTTTCCTTTTACTGCAGAATTGTCAGGTCAATTTGGTTGTCATGTTATTAACAACACTTTTTCCTCCAGGCCACTCATTTATTCTGATTTTGGGAAACAGCAAGTTGAGAAAAACTGCTTTAGGACTACTGTGGCATCTTAATCACCACTTGAAAATGGTGAAATCTTTAGCTTCATAGACTCTTCCAGAATTTCCTATATCCCAAGAGAATTAAATTAATGAAGAGACATTGAAGATCCATTTTAACCTTTGTTTTTCTCACTGGCTTCTTTTAGATACTATTAAACATCACAGACTTTCCCCAGAATGACCTATAAATGTAAAAAGCAAGCATCATTCATTATAACACTTGCTAGTAACAAGAATATATTTGAGACAATATGAATGTAAAATATGTAATGCAGCATGTATTAATTTTATATATGCTAGCAAATATTTATTACGTTCCTATGTGAGAAAAGGATTACTTAGAAATGAAAATCCCTTCCAAGTTGAAGTAGGTGGAATATTTGTACAATATTAAGTTAAAAATAAACTAAGGAATAAAAATGCTGGAAGTGCATCATCATCCCGTAACAACAGATATAACTTTTAAAACAAAGAAACAGACTCTCAGTATGAATCCAAGCTAGAACAGACAACTACCTTTGTTGAATAAGAGAAAAATCAACTTAGTTTATGAAAAGACACTGAATAATTATCCCTAATTGTATAAGAATACTTTTATGTGTACTTTACAAGGATCAAAATCGGAGTTTGTGTGGGGTGTGTGTCTGCATGTAAGGATTATACGAAGGCTGGTGTCCCTTGTCAGAGAGGACAAACACAACCAACTCACCAGGGATAAGAACAAAAAGTTTAGGGGAGAATATTGTGTATTTGTGTAAATTTTAACATGTTTGTGTTTGTGTGTGTGTGTGTGTGTGTATAGTGCCGGGTTGATGTTTATAATAAAATAATTGAAATGAAATCAAAGTAGCTGAAAATGTACATAATCTTAAGGCCAGCCCTTGGCAAAATTGTGCTTGTTAATGATATTGCAACTCCGAATAGAAGTTTGTTATCTAGTAATTTATAGAAATTAAAATTTTAAACATATTAACCTATTGATAATGAAGAAATCATTGTAGGGTTTTAAATTGCCATAATTTTTCAATTGTAGAAGCTAAAAAAAACCAAAAACAAACTAGATAATAAATGTTGAAAAATATGTGGGTTATAAGTTAATTTTGATGGAGCAGTAGGTCAAGTCTAATGGTGGGAATATAAAAACAGTAAGGGCTTTGTAAAGGGTACTCTTCCTCCAGGGAACTGTGCTATGGGGTGTTCTGATGATGATGAGGAGGGTACATGTACATACCTACCCACAAAAAGATTTAGATTTTTTTTTTTAACTTCACGCATTATGTTGGACCCTATATAAGAAATTTCCTGGGTGGGGGGGTGTGGGGGAACTGGATGAAGGTGATCAAAAGATACAAACTGCCAGTTATAAGAAAAATACATATAGGGATGTAATGTACAACATGACGACTGTGATTAACATCTGCTGTATGGTAAACCTGAAAGTTGCTAAGAGAATGGATCCTAAAAGTTCTCATCACAAGGAACAAAATCCTTTTTTTTTTGTATCTATATAAGATGGTGGATGTTAACCGAACTTCTTGTGGTAGTCATTTTGCAGTATTATGGTGTGCAGTTTAAGCTTATACAATGCTGTATGTCAATTATATATCAATTAAAAGAAATTTCCTAATGATTGTCAATGGGATTATCTTAATTTTGGAAAGGTGGAATTCTAATCATACTAGCTATTATTTAGATTCAGATACTGAGGATAATTTGGTTTAGAACACATCCTTTTTCGTAAGGAAGTTAAGATTACTTTGTACTTACTAGACGTAAGCATATTTAGTTTTAGTTTTTAGATTTACATGTTAGTATCAGCAAACTTCTCTTTATCGACCAAGATAAAAAAAAGATTTAAACAACCATGCACAGCCCTTGCTTCTTTTTTTTTTTTTTTAAAGATTTTATTTATTTATTTGAGAGAGAGAGTGAGAGAGAGAAAGAGCACAAGAGGCGGGGAGCGGGAGAGGGAGAAGCAGACTCCCTGCTGAGCAGGGAGCCCGATGCGGGACTCGATCCCGGGACTCCAGGATCATGACCTGAGCCAAAGGCAGTCGCTTAACCAACTGAGCCACCCAGGCGCCCACAGCCCTTGCTTCTTATGAGCGGGATTTAGCAGTAAATGTTCTCATTAGGATTAAGACGTCACTTCTCATGTACTGATGTTGGAGAGATGAAGCTCTAAGAAGCAGGGGCCTATTCCTGATAAAAAGCACACAAAATGACTATTAAAAATGAGGCCTGGGTTACAGATTGGGCAGTGGCTACTGGTGTATTGCTTTCTCCCTAGTAAAATGGTACTTTGAGGGATGCCTGGGTGGCTCAGGCGTTAAGCGTCTGCCTTCGGCTCAGGTCATGATCCCAGAGTGCTGGGATCCACCCCCGCATCAGGCTCCTTGCTCAGCAGGGAGCCTGCTTCTTCTTCTCCCCATTGTCTGTTACTCCCCCTGCTTCTGCTCTCTCTCACAAATATATCAATAGAATCTTTAAAAAAAGATTGATCAAGAGTTACTCTCAGAATAGATCTTCATTTAAAAAATTGATCAGATGATTGGTTTGATCAATTCAGGAAGTTATTGAAGAGGGTTATATATATATAAAAAAAATCACAGGTGACAGATGGACTATTTTCAATTTTAGCAGTGGGGAAACACCAACATACATACAGCTTCAGAAGACAAAAAAACACCATGGTACCTCTATTCCTTAGCCCCATGTTTAAATGAGTTTAGTTTTTTATTTTATTTATTTGACAGAGAGAGAGACAGTGAGAGAGGGAACACAAGCAGGGGAGTGGGAGAGGGAGAAGCAGACTTCCTGCAGAGCAGGGAGCCCGATGTGGGGCTCGATCCCAGGACCCGGGAATCATGACCTGAGCTGAAGGCAGATGCTTAACGACTGAGCCACCCAGGCACCCCTAAATGAGTTTAGTTTTAAAAATAACTTCTTCGGCGCTTGGGTGGCTCAGTTGGTTAAGCGACTGCCTTCAGCTCAGGTCATGATCCTGGAGTCCCGGGATCGAGTCCCGCATCGGGCTCCCTGCTCAGCGAGGAGCCTGCTTCTCCCTCTGGCTCTCTCTCTCTCTCTCTCTCATTCTCGCTCTCTCAAATAAATAAATAAATCTTTATAAAAATAACTTCTTTTCCCTTTCATACAGATCTAACCTGACTTGACTTGAGATATTTTCAAAAGTTTTCTTTTTATCAATTAAAAACTAGTTTCTTGAAAGAAAGCTCCTTTTTAAAAATTAAACCTTTTTTTTTTTTTTTAAGATTTTATTTGACAGAGAGAGACAGCAAGAGAGGAAACACAAGCAGGGGGAGTGAGACAGGGAGAAGCAGGCTTCCTGCAGAGCCCCGATGTGGGGCTCAATCCCAGGACCCTGGGATCATGACCTGAGCCCAAGGCAGACGCTTAACAACTGAGCCACGCAGGCGCCCCCCCCCGCCTTTTTGTTTATCTGTTGGCCTCACTTCTCTTACTGTGCCTATGATTTCAGAGTGAAGACATTTCAGGCACAGTTATTTCATTAGTGCTTTTTACCTTTTGGTTGTGACAATTTATCTTTTCTCAATTTGGTTCATATGAAAAGGTATACCCAATCTACTTCATTCAATGTATGAACAAACTTCATTTCTCTTTATTCATTGATGCCCTCCACTACCTTACTGTGAATAAATCCACATACTTGGTATTTGAAAGACATAAAGATGGGCAAAACTTTCTAAAGCAGATCCCTAATTAGGCTAGGAACTGGCAGGGGTGCCCTCAGATGTACGGCAATTAAGCTACTAAGAATTCAATAGTTTCTTCTTATCATTTGTTGTAGGCACTCAATAATGTCCTTGGTCTTTTGATGGTCCCCAGAGCATTGCTGAGATTGGAGCGGGGAGAAGTGGACTTCATTTGTAAAGACTCATGACTTGGTCTGGTGGTAATCTTGCCCGGCAATCGGCTATTGAAGAATTCTTATTAAAATTGCAAGAAGTTCCCATATTCATGGTAATCCAACCCAACTGATGTGAACCAATTGAACCCTACTGGAAACTCTAGTTATTGCAGGGGTTCCTTTCTTGGTTCTCTTGCCTGAAACCTTCCATGTCTACTCTTCAGACTACTTTCCAGGTTCAGTTTCTGGCAGTTTCCTCTCTCTCTCCTTTTGTTCCTATATTCCTAAACTTTCCATTCCCACCCCTTTACGTCTCCATGTGTAAGTCCTGTTTTCTTTTTGAATATCAAATCTATGAATGCTGAACCAGGAAAAGCCCCCATTAAAATAGGACTGTAAGACTTTGTAACAGAAAATTTAGGTAAGCCTCCTCAGAGCAGTGATGGATAGTTTCAAAATTCATGTTCACCTTATCTCTACTCCTTAGGGGTAAGTAAAGTGTTTCCTTTCCAATCCTAGGGGTAATGTCCTTTTCTCTATCTCCCTTCATCCCCTTTCTCTCCACAAACAGGCCAAATGACTTTAGGCAGCAGAAAGTATAAAATGCTTGGATTTACATATCAAAGTATATTGAATGTTTATATTCTAATACATAAAGCCCTCAACTATACTGAAGAAAAAGATATTGCCAACTATGATCCAGATAATACTTCTGTTTCACATTTAAGAAACAGGATTATTAAAAAAAAAAAAAAAGCCAAAGGATTATTCAGCATTACCTATACATTAAAAAAATTGAATCCCTCATCAAAAGTATCTTTAGGGATAAAGGAGGTTCAACTCTAGTTTGGCCAACTACTATGACCTTGGGGAAAGTTACTTAACCTCTTTAAATTCCAGTTTCCTTATCTTTAAAATAATGGTGAAAATGTTTTCCTCATAGGATATACATGAGAATTATAGAGATCATGTATGTAAATAACTTTGCACAGTTGCCGGTATTAAAAACTCAATAAGAGATGCCTGGGTGGCTCAGTCAGTGAAGCGTCTGCCTCCGGCTCAGGTCACGATCCCAGGGATTGAGTCCCGCATCAGGTTCCTTGCTCACCAGGGAGCCTGCTTCTCCCCACTGCTTGTGCGCTCTCTCTCTGACAAATAAAATCTTAAAAAAAAACCTCAATAAAATTAAAAAATGATGCTGATAATAAGGATATGCTCTTTTAGCCAAGCAATCACATATTTTTGCCCTCAACTGAAAAAAAATTTATTCCCTAACCTTCAAGTTATGTTACTATGATCACCATTCCCTTTTAAACTGTAACACAGTCCACATTCCCCAGTATTTTTATCAATTACACTTTATGAATGTGTTTTTTCTTTATTTGTGAGAACTATGTCACCTCTCTGCTTCTTCATGCTGGAAGGATCTCTGGACCAATCAATATTCATGATGGCCTGAAAAAGCTTAATTTATGGGCAATAAAGTGGACCTTAGTATCAGGGGCAACTTTATCTTTATTTCCTTCATTGACTAATGACTGTGTAGAAAAAACAACTAATTTGGCATTTATCCAACTATGTTTATTATCTACATTGCATTAGGTTAATACTCTAAGGGATAGAGCAATGAACAGTTTTTGGCTTCATGGATGCTGCCCGGAAGGATGGTAAGAGGAATAAAACTACTTGCAAATTAGAATAAGTGGTTTAGTCAGGGCAAAAATCTTGTTTTCTCCCTTGGGAAACTTCACTGAGTTATAAATGTGGGAAGAAAAATATAGACTGGGTGTAAGAACAAATGTGAGGAATAAAGGGTAAATCATGGAGCCTTAATTCAGTTCATACTTCATAGTTGCTGATACTGTATGTGCTGTAAAAACTGGATAGGATACAGTATCTTCCCTCACAGAGTCCAATATAGCAGGAGGATGTGATACACAGTAAGTGCTGAGTGCCTTGGTTTCTTTAGTGTAACAAAAGGCTAAGCTAAAGAAAAAAGGCTGAAGAAGGCACATGTTCACGTAGCAACCTGAATGAAGCATCCCTGTCCCTCACCATTCCAGAGCTAATGGCAGCCCCTTTTGTTACAAAGTGGGACACTAGTACTTCTGGGGAAGAGCGATGCTCACCATTTGTAAGTACCCTGGCATTACAGAATTGTTTCACTGATCAAATTACATTGCTGGTATTTTAAAATGTTTTAGTTCCTGAACTCTCACAGCAATATGTAAGAACCAAGGGAAAGATGATAGAAAACTGTCTCTTGGATATTTAAAAACAAAAATCCACATCTGATAACTAATGCACAATTAGGCAAAAATAAGGTAGCCTATGAAAATGGCTAGGTTGATATGAACACAGCCCTTAGATGGAGTAAAACATTAATACAATCAGGGGAATCCGGGAAAAAATAATGAAAAAAAAGTGGCATCTAAGTTTAGCCTTAAAAATACAGGTCGAGTAACAAAAGGCAAAAAAAAAGAAAGAGAAGAGAAGGCAAAAGAAAGTAAAAGAGGATGTGCTCAAAAAAACTACAGGAGTTTGACTGGAGACAAGGAATAAAGAAAGGTTATATCCCTGCTTGTAAACTGTACTTTTCCATTATCAAAACTGATAACATTTGCATTCTACTTTGTAACCACAGTTAAGTATAAAGAAACACAATTACCCAAAGTCAGACTTGGTGCTGGAGGGGGAACTTAGTTTACAACCCGAGAGTATACTTGTTGGTTGGACGCAATTAGTGGAATACAAAACTGCAAATAGTTTATAAATCTTTATCTCTCCAAACAATGGCAACTTTTATCTCTTCAAATCCTTCTGGAGGCTCTGCCCCAGGCCCTCAGGGTCAGTACCTTACAGATCACCTTTAGGACTGAAAAGCTCCACTGGAAAAAAACAGGCGCTCTATGAGTTTTAAGTTTTACTCACATGTTAATGAGACATTTTGTTAGAACAAATACTACTTATTGTGTATATATCAAGCACTAAGGCAGGCTTATTTTTAATTCTCTGACTTTTCAGAGTAGGTATTTTTATCTTCTTTTAATAGTTGAGCAAACTGGGTTTTAGGCAGACTGATTCACCTACAACCACAAAATTAAGAGTTTGTATTTTAACAGTGATATGCCTGATTTAAAAACTCAATCCCATTTTACTGTGGTGGCTCTTAACCAGTGCTGTATATTTCAACTGCCCGGGGGGAACTTTTAAAACTGAAACTTACTTAAATTAAGTTTTAATCAGAGAAATACATATATACAATTAAGAAAAACCCAAATAATACTGTTAGACTGGTAGTGAAAGACAGCAATCCTCTGCCTTTTCTCTACCCATCTCCGACTTTTTTCTCCAGAGACAACCACTTCTTTCTATCGTAGCTTTTTTAATAATGTGTTGATATTGCTTTACTCACCTCTCTGTATTAGATCTTGCCTGATTTCCCCCCATTACACACACCTCTCCTCTCCAATCCCCTCAATACTACACATTTTTTGTTGTATTAGTATTCAGTTTTACGTAATTATGACTGACTTTATATGACTAGTATTATTCGCAACAGAAGAATGCAGTGTAGTTCCTGAAAAAACTTTGAATTTTCCTGTTTCATAATGGATTTGTTTCCTTAATTTTTAAAAAATTTGCAGACCACCAATTCATCCTCAGACTCTGAAAAACTAAAAATCTCGTCTTTATATTCAAACACACCCGGTACTCTCAGTTTTTCTTTTTGAGACATTCCACCTAACTTTCTGTCTTTACGCATTTCTTATTGAATTCATGCTCTTCTCCCCTACTCTCCTTCCTCTTTAATATAGTTGTATTACGATTTTAGCAACTTCATGGCATACTCCTTAGGTCATTTACTCTTCAAATAATAAAACGCCTTTTTCCCCATTGAGGACAGACTGTATCTCTCAACTTCCCACTTTATAAGGACAGCATCACCATTTTTTCCCTCCCCCTTCAACATCCCTGCTTGTAAACTGTACTTTTCCATTATCAAAGCTGATAACATTTGCGTTCTACTTTGTAACCACAATTAAGTATTATCTCAAAAGATGAAAACCATAACCATCATTTACATTAATTATTACGATTATTTAAATGTTATTCACGAAGTAGCCAAGCTTAGTGCTGTGACTGGATTTCCTTCTCTTTGGCTCCAAGGTCTTGAACTACATGCTACTCACAGGGACCACGAAATAGAGTCCACTTTCTCACACTCCAACCCTCTGTTCAAAATCCAGCAGCATTTTATATTGTTTGGTATTAGAAGGTCGCTTTTCCTGTACAGTTGTGCTTTTCCACTGACAATTTGATTGTCACGGTTTTCTCTTGTTGAAGAAATATATTTGCCTTCCACGTATCTTTAAGATCTTCAGCTTCTTACTCATCCAATGTCTTGCTTACAATCCAATATTCCCGAAATTTATGTCTTATTTTAATTTGGGCCATGAGCTTGTTGTACATTAAAATTTTTCTGAAAACTTTATTAGCCCTCCTTTTTTAAATAATGCATCATGTTCGTTCTGTTTTCATTTTAAGGATGCAAAGCTTCTTAAATATTGTCGTAGCCCTTAACTGAAGTTCTTCGCTGTCCCCGGAAAATCGCGTACTTCCTCTCTCTAGCCGCTAACCGCCACCGTCCCGGCAGCTCGGCTAGGACCGTCTCCGTTGAGAGCGCAGCCGCGAAGAGCGCTCAAGTCCTCTCGCGAGATTCCAGAGCTCCGCGCTCGCCGCTCCGTTTCGCCGCCGAGGCTCCTGGGAGTCGGCCATGTCCTGGCCGGGAAGCCGGCCGCGTAATCACGGTACTAAATGTGTACCTGCAAGCGGATGTTGAGGATCACCGAGCCTGCGACGTAGAAGTACGGAAAGTTCATGCGCAGCTGCCAGGCCAGCTCGAAGAAGGCGAGCAGGGTGCGGGAGAGCCCTTTGCAGAAGACTCCGTAGGAGCTGGGGACCCTGGCCGTGCTGGAGGCTTTGAGGGCCAAGGAAGACGGAGCCGTCGCGGTGGCCATGGACCCGGTGTCGCCGCTCCCCCAGTGCTGAGCGCCGAGAGTCACCACAGGCCTCGTGGACCCCCGACCGACGGCCGGGACGGCGAGGGGCAGGGTGGGGGTGATTAGGCAGCCGCCAGGCACATACCTGCGCCTCCCGCTGACTCCGTTTCCTCCCCAGCGGCGCTCTGGCCACGGTAGCCGCTGTCGCTCCGCCCCTTCCTGTCTGCTGCTCCCACAGCACTTAGAGAGCTTAACAGGTGGTAGATGCGGAAGGGGTTATGCACATATATATGACATACACATTGTCTTACATGTGGTCAAACAGATATTATTTTCACTCTGAAATGAAGAAAGGAAGCTTAGTAAAATTACGTAATTTGAATTTGCCGTAGAGAACACAGTTTGTAAGGGTCAAACTTTAGATTAAAACAGGTTTGTCTGCTATGTGATCTGGGGTATTAGCCAGGAATATCACCCTTTGATTTCATAAAATTAACCCTAATATTAGGGCAAGATGAACTCCTTACATAAGCCAGTTCAGACATAAAGTCTCTGTGTTCATAACATACTATAACTGTAAAGGATCACAATCTCAGGCTATGGATTTTCCTGTGTATTAGGACTCTTTCAATTGCAAGTGGCCCAGACCTTTAAGCAAACAAAATGAAACACATACATATGCACATATACTTTAATTTGGGAGGGGGGGACATGTTACATACATACAATATAATTCCCACCCAGGTAAACCCATGAAAAGTCCAGAACAGGTGGATGGAAGCATGGGGATACACCTGTGAAACCTGTGGCTAAGCCCCAAAGCTTGGAATACTACTAAAATCTCAACTCTGAATAACCTTAGGGTTAACATCATAGTGTATCTCCCATAGCCATATACCCTTCTGATGTTTAAGTGATGCACATTTCATTACCTTCTCCAAGCTACATTTTAACTTAACCTCTACACTCAGGGATTATCCAGATACGTAATTTATGATCAAAATCCTCAGATTACTGTCTAGTTCTGAAAAAGCACTGTTCACATATCCCACATCTCACCTGCATTGAATAGCTGTAGTGACTACTCGAAGCACAGTTAATGTATCCTAGAGGACCTCTGTTTCTCTATATCCTACTGATAATAATTGGTACAAATAACATGCCGTTATGAAATTTGTAAAATGTAATTGTGTGTCCCCAGCTAAAATTTTTTCTACTTTGCTATACAAATACCACCCCTGCAACACTGTGTAGACAGCACTTAGAAGAACTGATTACCAGTCACGTGAGACAACTTATAAAATAGAATATTTGAGAATTTAAAATATTCTGAAGAATGATACAAGATGAATGACAACTCTGAGAACCAGGAGAAAATGTGTAATTTTAGTATACAAGTATAATTTACCCTTTCTGAAAATTGAAAAAAAGAATAGATCAAGATATTCAGGGTCACTTAAGTCATTAAGTTTCTGGATCTTCCATTTCCAACTATATAAAACTATGTGGATTCATTCTCCTCTACCCTTTCTCTACTACCCCACCCCTTACACCCAGCTCTGGTTAACTCCAGGAAAATCCTGTCTTTCATCCTGAGTCCATGGGGAAAATAGCAGCCATCTACTGCTAAGGTGGTTAGGTAGATGGCCTGTTTCAATGGAAAGGACTGGGCAAATAAAGAGTAGTCATGAAGTCCCTCTTCTACTCATTAATATTCTAAAGCTGATGAAGGATTCCCATCAGGTGAAACTGACAGTGGAATGTGGACTAGGACCAATATTTTACATGGTTCTGGTTTTTATTCTGTCGTTTGATCTTTAGATTTGAATAACTGATTCATATTTTTTGCCAAGTAGGCACATGTAAGTAAGCTATCAACAGTAACACGTCCTAAGCCATTTCTCTAGTTGATACTGCATTGGCTACTAACTTGACCTTCCTTTCCTAATCTTTATTATTCCCCTTTTTTTGACTCTATATTCCCAATTTAGTACTTTTATTTTGAGAGAGAGCACGGGTGAGTGCACGGCCAGGGAGGGGCAGAGGAAGGAGAGAATCTCAAGCCAACTGTCCTACATGGGGCTCCATCTCACGACCCTGAGATCACAACCTGAGCCAAAATCAAGAGTTAAGACACTTGGGGCGCCTGGGTGTCTCAGTCGTTAAGCATCGGCCTTCGGCTCAGGTCATGATCCCAGGGTCCTGGGATGGAGCCCCGCATCAGGCTCCCTGCTCTGTGGGAAGCCTGCTTCTCCCTCTCCCACTCCCCCTGCTTGTGTTCCCTCTCTTGCTGTGTCTCTTTGTGTCAAATAAATAAATAAAATCTT